TTTTTGATTGCACTCAAGGAGGTGAATTGCCTACTTGTACTTGGAATTACTTCAGATTTTCTCTCTTTATTAGTAGTTGCAGTGTTAATTATAAACGCAGGTAATTTTTATTGAAACATTGTTTTATTGTAGAATGTACTGTCTGGACACATTAGATTCTGCTTGGCATATACAGGTGAAACTTGAAAAATGAGAATATCGTGCAAAAGTTAATTTATTTCAGTAATGCAACTTAAAAGGTGAAACTAATATATGAGATAGACTCATTACATGCAAAGCAAGATAGTTCAAGCCGTGATTTGTCATAATTTTGATGATTATAGTTTACAGCTCATGAAAACCCCAAATTCACAATCTCAGAAAATTAGAACATTACATGGAATCAATAAAACAAGGATTGTACATAGAACAATATCGGACCTCTGAAAAGTATAAGCATGCATATGTACTCAGTACTTGGTTTGGGCCCCTTTTGCAGCAATTACTGCCTCAATGCGACATGGCATGGAAGCTATCAGCTCTTCTGCATTGTTCAGTCTCATGTCTCTCATCTTTCTCTTGGCAATGCCCCATAGATTCTCTGTGGGGTTCAGGTCAGGTGAGTTTGCTGGCCAATCAAGCACAGTAATCCCACGGTCATTGAACCAGGTTTTGGTGCTTTTGGCAGTGTGGGCAGGTACCAAGTCCTGCTGGAAAATGAAGTCAGCATCCCCATAAAGCTTGTCTGCGGAAGGAAGCATGAAGTGCTCCAAAATCTCCTGGTAGATGGCTGCATTGACTCTGGACTTAATGAAGCACAGTGGACCAACACCAGCAGATGACATTGCTCTCCAAATCAACACAGACTGTGGAAACTTCACACTGGACTTCAAGCATCTTGCAGTGTGTGCCTCTCCATTCTTCCTCTATACTCTGGGTCCTTGGTTTCCAAATGAGATGCAAAAGTTGCTCTTATCAGAAAAGAGGACTTTGGACCACTGAGCAACAGACCAGGTCTGTTTTTCTTTAGCCCAGGTAAGATGCTTCTGACGTTGTTTGTTGTTCAGGAGCGGCTTGACAAGAGGAATATAACATTTGAAGCCCATTTCCAAGATCCGTCTGTGTGTGGTGGCTCTTGATGCATTGACTCCAGCCTCAGTCCACTCCTTGTGAAAGTCCCCAACACTTTTGAATGGCCTTTTCCTGACAATCCTCTCCAGGCTGCGGTCATCCCTGCTGCTTGTGCACCTTTTTCTTCCACACTTTTCCCTTCCACATAACTTTCTATTAATGTGCTTTGATAAAGCACTTTGGGAGCATCCAATTTCTTTTGCAATTACCTTTTGAGGCTTTCCCTCCTTATGGAGGGTTTCAATTATGGTTTTCTGCACAACTGTCAGGTCAGCAGTCTTTCCCATGATTGTGATTCCTACTGAACCAGACTGAGAGACCATTTAAAGGCTCAGGAACCCTTTGCAGGTGTTATGGCTTAATTAGCTGATTAGAGTGGGACACTTTGAGCCTAGAATATTGCACCTTTTCACAATATTCTAATTTTCTGAGATTGTGGATTTGGGGTTTTCATGAGCTGTAAGCCATAATCATCACAATTATGACAAATCACGGCTTGAACTATCTTGCTTTGCATGTAATGAGTCTATCTCATATATTAGTTTCAACTTTTAAGTTACATTACTGAAATAAATTAACTTTTGCACGATATTCTAATTTTTTGAGTTTCACCTGTACATGCAAGCAAGTTTCTTTGGCACTAATTGCTGTAGATGTTTTTACTGCAGACCAAATCGAAAGGAGCTTGGATACAATGCCTCACACAGAGCAGTGCATATTTTGCCAGACCCATCTTTATCATGACAGCATTAAAAAAATGTTTCTTGATATCAAAGACCTTTTATATATGTTACAGATGTCGTAATTCAAGAACCAGATTTAAAGCAGTATTAAACTCAAAACCAAAAATGTAATATATTGCAGCTTACCAGGGTGGATAAAAATCAATGATTTTTTTAAAAAAAATCAAAAAAAATCTGATTTTTTTTATTTAAATCAGATTTTTTTTTAAATAAAATGCTTTTTGAGGAAAATATATTACCATCCAAAGGTTATTCCATCATGAAATAAAGATTAGTTTTTTAATTATGTAGAATAAGGCTGTATATGTTTAATTTTTTTGGTAAATAAATTCCATTAATCCATTCACAATGTCATGCTCTTCCAGAGGTTTGTGTAAGATTATTGGGCAGTTTCTCTGCCTACAAGATATTATCACAGATGCTTGGTTTACTTTTGCAGTTCTCAAAACTGAATTTGAATCAGCGGAGATCACATGCCTCTTCTTCACAGCAAAAACGTTATAACATGAACAGAGTTAAGAAAAAGACCTTAATCCTAACTTCTACAAACCTATGAATACAGAATCAACCCTTTCAGTGCTAAGTTTCAAGAAGTTCAGTGAATAGAATAGAAACAATATTTTTCTGATTGTTTGGAGTAGAATAGATCTGCACAAGAAGAAAGTGAAACTAAGTGTGAGGAGGAAGGGGCTGACAGTCTAAGTTTCTTAACCACTTCCAGACCGGACACTTTTACCCCCTTCCTGACCAGGGCAATTTTCAGCTTTCAGCGCTATCACACTTTGAATGACAATTGAGCAGTCATGCAACACTGTACCCAAATTAATTTTTTACCATTTTTTTTGAGACAGATAAAGCTTTATTTTGGGGGTATTTATTCACCGCTGGGATTTTTATTTTTTTTGCTATGTAAATGAAAAAGTCCAAAAATTTTGAACAAAAGTGTTTTTTTTATAACATTTTGCAAATAAATAATATTTCATCATAAATCTTTGCCAAAATTTATTCCGTTATCTTTTTAGTAAAAAAAAACAAAAACAAATTAGTTTATAACCAAAAATTATAATTTTTAAACATTTTTTTTTTAATTTTTATTTTATTTTTTTTATATTATTGTTTGGGTTTTTTTTTTTGTTTTTTTTTTTTTACATACTGTCAACCTAGCAGTACACTGTCACCATGGTGACACTTTACTACTTGTGGGGGGTGATGAAGATTTTTTTTTTTTTTTTTTTTTGTACACTGATTGCTTTTACACCCATATAGGATGTAAAAGCAATCATTTCTCTTTCTCTCTGTGTGCATTCCTGCACTCATTGAGAAGTACTGAGTGAGCTGTGATTGGTCACAGCTTGTCACATGGTACAAGGCTGTTGTGAATAGCCTTGTACCATGTGACCTCTGTGATCATTCACAGATTTCACACGTAGTAAGCAATGATGTCACAAGTGACATCTTGGTTACTACTTTGCATGTGATCACTGATTGGCCAATCAGTGATCACATGATCGGGACCTCGTACAGAGGTCCCGTCCGACGATCGGTGTTTCACACTGTGTCCGGAGGACACAGCCGGCACCGGATCGTGGTGCTGCGCGCTCCCAGGGAGCGCGCACAAGCAGGGTGTGGGAAGGCCGTTCATAAACGGCCACCCGACCCTGCACTGCCACCGTCCGGTCCGTTTATATGCAACAGCCAGTCGGGAAGTGGTTAAAATATGTATATTTTGTTTAGCCAAATTAGTTAACAAACATGGATGTTTGTTTAAGCAAATAACATATGCTGTAATGTTATTGTTTCAGTTGAATAAATCTATTTAAATTGTTATTAAGGTAATGATTATTTTTCTCCTTCCTAAGTACAACAGAAAAGTTGTCCAAATATGAATGATTAACCTATTAAACTGGGGATAAAAAACTAATATGAAAAGTTGTTATTCTAAAAATCTTCATCTACTTGCATATTAAAGTTATACCAGCAAGAATTAGTCTTTATGTAGAAAACTAGGATTTAAATCAAGCCTTACTGACTAGTAATTTAAATCGTGATTTAAATCAGTTTGATTTAAATCAAATCCACCCTGCAGCTTACCAATCTTTTCTTTGGCTTTTTTCCCCTCTGTTGTCACCTGGTGATCTGGCCAGTAACACACCCTCCTATATTAGTGAGACACAACACTGGATGAATGAGCACAACAGACAGCAGTATTGTTGGTCTGGGGAGGGAGTGTTAAATGTATTAGCAAATTTAAATATAATAACAAATTGAATCCAAACTTCAGCTCACACTTTATAATCAGTTACAACAGTTTTTTTTCCCTTTAAGGATAAGGGTTTTACATGAATAAATAAAAGCTGATCATTTTAATCACCTCTGCCAGTGTTAAATGGTCTGTCTCATCCATGTAAACTGATACATTCTGCTGGAGAGCTTGTGCTTCTGAAAAACAATAGACTCACTGACTAATTTAGCAGATGAAAATAGAAAATAGGAAACTAATGCAGTCATCATATCTAAGAATTGGTAAGCTCCAATATAATAAACGTTTGCTTTTGGGTTTAATACTGTTTTAATGGGTTTAGCAGTCACATTTGTTTATGGGTAATGGGCGATATTTATTAAAGCAGTTGTGTATTAACCACTTGCCTACCAGGCACTTATACCCCCTTATTTACCAGGCCAATTTTCAGCTTTCAGCGCTGCCGCACTTTGATTGACAATTGCGCGGTCATGCAACATTGTACCCATATGAAATTTTGATCATTTTTTTCTCACAAATAGAGCTTTCTTTTGGTGGTATTTAATCGCCACTGGGCGCTTTACTTTTTGCGCTATAAACAAAAAAATGCAAAAAATGTGAAAAAAAAAAAAAGTTTCTTTGTTTCTGTTACAACATTTTTCAATCAGGTAATTTTCCTCCTTCACTGATGTGCGTTGATGAGGCAGCACTGATGGGCACTGATAGGCGGCACTGATGGGCACTGATAGGCAGCACTAATGGGCACTGATAGGCAGTACTAATGAGGTGGCACGGATAGGCGGCACTGATAGGCAGCACTAATGAGGTGTCACGGATAGGCGGCACTAATATGCAGCACTGATAGGTGACACTGATGATGGGTACTGATAGACGGCACTGACTGGCATCACTGCTGGGCACTGACTGGCGGCACTGACTGGCACAACCGCTGGGCACTGACTGGCAGCATTGCTGGGCTGCACTGGTGGGCAGCACTGGTGGGTGGGCACAGGTGGGTGGCACTGGTGGGCACAGGTGGGTGGGCACAGGTAGGTGGCACTTCTGGGCACAGGTGTGTGACACTGCAGAGTGGCACAGGTGGGTGCATTGCTGGGCACAGGTGGGTGCACTGCTGGGCACAGGTGGGTGATCTGCTGGGCACAGGTGGGCGGAGCTAGTGGGCGCACTGCTGGGCACAGGTGGGCGGAACTTGTGGGTGGCACTGCTGGGCACCGATCATCAGGGCACTGATCATCAGTGCCCTGATGATCGGTGCCGATCCTCGCTCTGACAACTGCCGGTTCTCGGCAGTACTTTCCTCACAATCTGACAGCGTGAGGAAAGTGCAGCCGAGAACCGGCAATTGCATTTCCCTGTGATCAGCGTGTCATTGGACACCGCTGATCACGTGGTAAAAGGCCGCTGTGATTGGCCTTTTACCACATCACGTGATCAGCTGTGTCCGTAGGACACAGCGATCACGGAGATCGCCGGGTGCGCACCCCGGGGGGCGCACAGGAGAGCGCGTTCTCGGAGGACGTCATATGACGTCCACCCAGAACTGGCCAGCCGCAGTGCAGCCGTCATTCGGCTATCTGCGGTCAGCAACTAGTTAAATATTGTGCAATTTGCATGCAAACATTTTAACAACCCAATGCAACAGATTTAGTTCTGCATTACTGAGCACTCAAATAGCATCTGTCTACCTTTTCTCTTAGTTGTGCTGCAACTGTGGGCTCTTATTTAGCAATGAATTCCAATCTCAAAACTATTGCAGAACTTAGACGTGCTAAGGGGAGTTTCTTAAACACACACCGATATGTTCAATTTTCAAAGCCCAATGGCATAAAGAAAATAAATCTGTTCTCAACTTGCTTTAAAAAATATAAACCAAGTGGCAGATTAGCAGCTGCACACAATAAAACTGTTTTGATAAATGTCTTCCAATGTATATTAATATCAGTCTATTTACTGTATTTATTGCAAAGCGAATCTGATTTTATTTGTTGGAGAGTCTATTGGTATTAATTATTTAAAGTACCTGCTAAGATGTTTGACAGGATTGTACATCTGCATCTAAATACTACCCTGCAAATATGAGAAAAATAAAAAGTGTTTTTGTTTTTTTTTTTTTTTTGTTTGGGTACTAAATTGGTACCAAGTGCAACAGTCTACCTAGAAATCTTCAATTTACATTGAGGTTACAATAGTGTGCATCTCTTTGCTATGGAGATTTATCTGCCTGTTGGCAGAAGCCTCATGTACAGCACACTAAAATCGATGTGCTGTTAATCAGATCATTTGGTCAGCAAGAAGTTAAAGTGATACTAAAGTTTTGTTTTTTGGGGGGGTTTTGTAATAACAAAAATATCATACTTACCTGCTCTGTGCCGTGGTTTTGCACAGAGTAGCCTGGATCCTCCTCTTCTCAGGTCCCCAGCTAGAGCTCCGATCTGTCAGGGCTCAGGAGCATGCCTGCTCGGGTGCCCTCATAGCAAGCAGCTATGGCGCGCTCCTGAGCCAAGACTTAACATGTCCATTTACACACAGAACCATGGCTCAGACCCCCCCTCCCTCTCCTCATTGGCTCACTGGCTATGATTGACAGAAGCAGCAGCCAATGGCTCCCCCTGCTGCCTTAGCCAATCAGTGATACTAGTGTAAGATAATTCCAGTGTAAGCCATACCAGTTTCTTGATCACTGCCACACCAGTACACTGTGGGAGGCACTTTTAAATCCGTTGTGGCTATCTTCTAATTCAGCAGCACCTCTCACCCCCCCCCCCCCCCCCCCCCCATTACAGCCCAACTAGTCATTTAGGTACAAGCAGAAAATGGTATTTGTTTTTCACCAAAGACTTATTCAGTTTAAAGTGGTTGTAAAGGAAAAAAAAACAAACAAACATATCTATACTTACCTGCTCTGCGCAATAGATTTGCACAGAGTGGCCCTGATCCTCCGCTTCTTGGGTTCCCTGCCGATTCTCATGGAGGACACTTGTGTGGGCTCGCTCCCAAGTCCCGCTGCTACGTCTATTGACAAAGACAGCTGGAATCGGACTTGCCCCCTCATTGCTGGAGTTGATTTACAGGAGCGGGAGCTAATGGCTTCTGCTGTCTCGATCTGCCCAGGGAGGAGGGCCAAAGTCAGGAGAGCCGCGCTCTCGTGCACAGCATTGAATCGTAATGGGGCTCAGGTAAGTATAGGGGGGGGGGGGTGAAGGGAGAGTATGTGACAAAGAAGGTTTTATACCTGAATGCAAAGAATGCATTTAGGTAAAAAAAAAACCTACAGTCCACTTTAATTGTGGACTAATGTAATCTGTATGCCCAACAGTGCATTGCCAGTGATTCCAATTCCTTTTTTTTGGCTGACCATTTGAGTTGAGGAATTTAAAATTTTTCCTGGACTAAACATGAGAATCAAAAAAAAATGAGCACACACCCCATTGTATCCTTCAGTTGCCTGAGGGCATGCTATACAATGATTAAGAGATTCCTGCATTTTAATGACAATTTAAAGAACTCTCAGCACACTAATAGCTTATATTAGTCCATACATCCCAACAAAGTCCGTAACTATATAACCGCTTTAGGTAGCAGCCGTCCCAGAGTGACCCAACTCTATATGCATGATAAGGTAAGAAAAGAGGAGCGGTGCCTTCGAAGAGCAGTATTAAAAAGGTTTTTTAATAAGCCACAAATGTAAAAACTCACAATAATGAGGTGATAAAAAAGAACCATCAGTAAAATTAACTGTAAAGCCATCATCGTGTCCTGCAGGGATCCGTCCGGTAGGGTAATGGCTGCTGTAGATGGTGGAGGGGAACCCAGAACACTGTAGGTGGTCAGGAGTCCCAGGCACCATTGCCCAAACCGAAACCAGAAGTGTCTGTAACCAACATGAACCGCAAGCTGGGCAAACATGATGTCACACAGGAGGAAGTTCAGCAATCAGAGAGAAGAAAGCAAGGCTCCTTCTAGAGGCCTAAGGATGAATTGCCTGACGTGTTCTATTTATAGGGATAAGAACATCTGGAGGACTGCAGAGCCCAGTAGACCATATATTAACAATAAAGATTACTGGGGAAAAAAAAAAAAGCAAACAATTATATATAAGGAGTGCTAAATAATTAGATAAATAGACAAAAAAAGGGGGGGGGGGGGAAAGGAGAATGGAAAAGGAAGGGAAGGAGGTGGGAAAAAGAAAAAAGGAAAGTACTTAAAATAACAACTGAAGAAAATTAAAAACTAAATTTTCTTAAAAAACATTGGTATTTATGAGACCATTGGGTAAGGTTAAGGATAATATGAAACCAATATATTATTCCGTAATTTATAATAAGGTGTGGATCTCTATTTCCTCATTGAGTCCCCCTGGAGTGAGGGTCCCTAACATGTAAATCCAGAAAGTCTCTTGTTGGCATAAACGTTTAAAACGTTCTGCCATGGGGAGAGCCTTAGAGATGGATTCTATGACCCAGACTGACAGACCTACAGTAGATCCCTGATGTACATCCAGAAAGTATCTAGGAACACTATGTTGTTCGTTACCATCCTCAGTGAGGCGTCTGTGTTCACCAAAACGTTTTCTCAGGGTTCGAATGGTTCTACATACATAAAACTGACCACAAGGACACGTGAGATACACTACATAATCAGATGAGCAGTTGTAAAAATCTTTGTAGTCAAAGATAAGACATACACCATCAAAGTCTTTCTGCCCATATGTGATGAAAGGGTGTGTAAGGCCCCCTCTACTTTTGGCAATATAGTATACCTTATTAATTGACAGCTCTGTGTAATTAAAACTTGTGGCTAAAAAATTACATTTCCTAAAGACTCACCATGTTCATACCTTGGGGTGTTTGCTTTCCAAAATGTAGTCATTTTGTGTGTGTTTCGATTGTCCTGAGGCTCCAGGGCCTCCAAAAATGTGATAGGTAGTCTGTAAATTAGATGCAAAATTTATGCCCCTAGAATGCCCAAAGGTGACCTTTGGGTGTTGGACCCCTCTACGTGGCTAGGCTTCATCATTTTTCAAAGAAATTTTGGCAAAAATTACAACTTAAAAACTCACTGTGCCTCTAAACACCTTAGACTGTCTACTTTCCAAAAAGGGGGCCATGTTGGGGGTATTTGCACTGACCTTACATTTTGAGATAAGCAGTGAGAACATAAGAATCAATTTTATTTATATATACATATACTGTACATATATATTACAAACACCAAACAATTGTAGCAGAATAAATAAATAAATGCATGAAGGAGGATTTTTGATTTTCACAATTTTATAACAAAAACTAATAGAATATGTTTGTTTGTTTTTTTTTGTTCAGTATTTCTTGTTTATATAGCAAAAAATATTTAAAAAAAAAAAAACCCAGTGGCAATTAAATACCACAAAAAGAAAGCTCTGTCTCAAAACATGATATAACATTCATATGGGTACAGTGTTGTATGGCTGAATAATTGTCAAAGTGTGACAGATTTGAAAACTGAAAAATGGCCTGGAGTGGAAGGGGGTGAAAGTGTCCAGACTTGAAATGGCTAAAGGATTAGTTTAACCCTAATTAGCTCTATATAATTTCTTTCTCACCTTCTCCCTACAGCTATTTTTTTGTCTTTGTTTGTTAAACAGGTTTTGTAAACCTTTTTCGCTTTCATTTATTTTTTTTCAGATGCAAAACAATAGAGACAAATTTGAAATGTAGCAAAGGCTCTGGTACATACAGGCTTTGCAAGGGTAGATGCTAAAGTGATTAATCGTTTGACCAACCTTTTTTTTTTTCCCTTTCAGCAATCACATTTTGGGGAAGAAATGTGCTACATTGCATTCACTGGCCTGGACATTCCACCTCCCACAGGACCTATGTGGATTTTAGGAGCTACATTCATAGGACAGTACTACACTGAATTTGACAGACGTAATAACCGTATTGGATTTGCTATATCCCTCTGAGCTAAATCTAAAAGCAACATTCTGAGGCATTTCCCATTTACAGAGTTTAGAGTGAAACTTCAGTTTTGTTGGAAAAAAAAAAATCTACTTCACCTATGTGAGAAAATGTTTAGGATCTTTAGAAATTTTCTGGCTTTTTGAATTATATTGTTTCAAAAATGTGGTCTTCATCTAATATTATTAAAGATGTTGCTTTATAGGAAAAAGCCCTGAGCATCTAAAGAAAATAAAATGTGGTTTAAAATTAAAGTGGTAATAAACCCAAAAACAAATGTATCACTTGCAGCATGACTTTTAAACTTTTCTTTATTTTCACCAGGTAATGTAGCCAGTAAGTCTGTTATTTTTCAACTTCGTTTACAGACCAAGCAAATGTTTCAGTTAGAGGATTGAGACAAACCATTTTAAACTGACAAGGGAGCTTACAATGATCAACCTTTATTCATTTATGTAAAAACAGTTGTAAAAATTAATGAAGATCACTAATAATTTAATGTAATTAATTAGTATTCTGGAAACAGGAATTAGCAAACTCTTTGAACTCAAACAAATTTCCCCACAGCAGCTTGGTTCTTTTCCAAAGATTACCATTTATCGGTTGCCAGAACAGATGACAAAATCCAACAATTTGAGACATAATATAATGATCAGAAGCCTCCAGAATACCAAGTTCTCCAGTCATGTACTAGCAAACATATAGACACCCATCCAGCATACATTTTACGTATGTTCTGGCTTAGCTATACGTAATGCGGGTATAATCAGGCAGACAGACAACCCTCCTCCCTTAACAACTCATTGCCGCAGGCGCTAGGTCCTCTTTTCAACTTTTATTGCAGGGAAGTTAGAGTAAAACTACAAACGAAAGAAATAACATTCAATCAGTATATACAATCTACAAAATATACAGTCCTGACACACTAGTCTAGCTAGAAAGGGGTTTTTAAACATTCCGGTGATGTTTCCGATAGGCTGACAACAGACTGCAGCTGGACATATGTAGAGTCCTCTGGAGGAGATGTAAAATGGCTGCCAGGTCTCTAAGACCTCATGGTGAAGCCCATAGGATGATGGGAAAACTACGGTGGTCTTTAAGCAACAAAATGTGTAACTACAGAAACTAATCTATAAAACTGTAATACAAAAGAGCCACTAGATGGCGATGTAACTACAGAAACTAATCTATAAAACTGTAATACAAAAGAGTCACTAGATGGCGATATTAGACTTTACCTTACATTCCATATCATAATAAACTAACAATGGACATAGCGTAAAAATATGCTGAAGGCATGACAACATATGTTGTTATTTCCTCAGGGAACAATTTGTTCCATCTGCTTAGTGGTCAGTTGCTACTCCTAGCAGTTATTCACTAGGGATTCTAGTAGCACCATTAAGGAATTAACTACACAAGTAGCATATATTCATTTGTAATTGTATTATCAATCAACAATCGGTAAGAAAAAAATTCCATAGCCCTTGACCTCTGTCATTCTTCAACGTGGCAAAGTGACAGTCTCCTTTTAAGACACAGTTGGAGTAAACTTTGTAGGAAAAGAGGGTTTAACTAAAAGAGAAAACAGTACTTTGTGTTACCTATGCTGCAAAAACCTGTGTTTCAGTAGACTTCAGACACAGTGACCCAGTCGTTTAGCACAGTGGGAAGTGTTGCAGGCAATTGGCTGGCTTATTCAGACACAAGGAGAGAAGAGGGAGATTTACTAAAACTGATGCAGACAGAATCTGATGCAGCTGTGCTTAGTAACCATTCAGCTGCTAGGTTTTATTGTCAAAGTTTAATTGAACAAACTGAAGTTAGAAGCTAATTAGTTACTATGCACAGCTGAATCAGATTGTGTGTGTGCCGGTTTTAGTAAATCTTCCCCAAGCTGTCTTGAAGCCCCTGCCTGAAACCCACTGAGCAAACAAGCCTTGCTTTGTGGTTAATCAGCTCTGCCTTCTTTTTACACAGGAAGGAAAAGGGGGGGGTGTAACAGCTAGGGATGACCTCAAGGCATGTTCAGATCCCAGTTCAAACCAGAGCAATCTGCCATAAAGCTGTCATCTATACTGTGCCAGTCATAGGTGGCTGAGGCTGCACTCCAGCCCTGCAGCCAAGCATATGCCAGGGGGTTGTGTACATGTGTCTGCAGAGTGGGAATGCCTCTGAGCTTGTACTGCACCACAATATGGGGAAAATAGGTTGCCTGATCCATCCCACCCAGACCCTCACTCACAACGTCAACTCACTGTCCTTGTGAGCATTTACCTCTCTAATACATTGACATGATCATTGCATTGATAATCTAATTATGTGCTGTGGTGATATATCAAAGTATTTCAGTTAGCTAACTAGCCTAGTAGCTGACCATTTAGCAGGGATGGCCAGTAAACATATGGGTGGGGCCACCTTGCCCTGCACACGGCAGGGGGGTACCTCTCTGTGTGTTAACATTATGGTGGTACCCCTACTTAGAGATGAGCCTTACACAGTGTGCAGTAGTAAACGGGCGAACTGACCATTTGGAAACTTGGGCACTGCCTGAGGGCTCGGGGTCAGTAGGGGTCCCCATGAGATGCCCCTGGTACCTTTTTCATAGGCTTTTTTGAGTTTTGGCAAGGACACAGGGGCCCCATGATCCCCTATTGCCCGGGGGCCCCATGAGTTGTCAGTCTGCCCTTGGTAGTAAACTGTACAGAGTTCCTCTGTGAAACATGTTGTCCTGCGTTACTACACACCTTACCTGTGAGTTGTTGCATTTAGAAGGGACATCACCAAGCCCATGCCCTCTCTACCTCTCCAGCGTACCTTTGCCCACTCACTCCCAGTGACAGAATGGGGTCCCTCTGTGAACATATCATGGACCTCATGATATGCAAATATCTTTCCACCAGATGCCCCCCAACGATATCCCAGTTGACAGCCAGCCTGGATAAACCAATTACCAGGGAAGAATTCACAGATGAAACTGGTCTCGTACATCTTCATAGTGCAATATTATAAAGGTTTCTAAGAGCTCCTGGCACCCCAGTTTGTGAGAGCCTTTAACTCACTCATCGACCTACCAGCCCCATCTCCAAGTTTATTAGAAGCCCCTATTGCGGTTATTCATAAGAAAACGAAGGGTCCACTGTCTGTTTCAAATTACCACCCAGTCTATCTCTTTAACGTCTCAATAATGAAACAATGTTATGTCTCTATAGAAATACCTGTTATAAATATTACAATGGCAACAGTATATGAACAATGGTGACACTCCCAATGAAATTATGTCTGCCAAATGCACACTATAGATGAAAAAAGGTAAATATAATATTCAGTCCACACTTCCACTTGTGCTAAATATTGACAAAAAATACACGAAGGTATTATTCCACAATAAGACACGCTGTACCTTTAACTACCTGCCGACCGCAGATAGCCGAATGACGGCTGCACTGCGGCCGGCCAGTTCTGAGTGGACGTCATATGACGTCCTCCCAGAACGCGCTCTCCTGCGCGCCCCAGGTTATCACGTGATGTGGTAAAAGGCCAATCACAGCGGCCTTTTACCACGTGATCAGCGGTGTCCAATGACACGCTGATCAGAGGGAAATGCAAGTGCCGATTCTCGGCTGCACTTTCCTCACGCTGTCAGATCGTGAGGAAAGTACTGCCGAGAACCGGCAGTTGTCAGAGCGGGGATCGGCACCGATCATCAGGGCACTGATGATCAGTGTCCTGATGATCGGTGCCCAGCAGTGCCACCCGCAAGTTCCACCCACCTGTGCCCAGCAGTGCGCCCACTAGCTCCGCCCACCTGTGCCCAGCAGATCACCCACCTGTGCCCAGCAGTGCACCCACCTGTGCCACTCTGCAGTGTCACACACCTGTGCCCAGAAGTGCCACCTACCTGTGCCCAGCAGTGCCACCCACCTGTGCCCACCCACCTGTGCCCACCAGTGCCACCCACCTGTGCCCACCCACCAGTGCTGCCCACCAGTGCCACCCACCAGTGCAGCCCAGCAGTGCTGCCAGTCAGTGCCACCAGTCAGTGCCCAGGGGTTGTGCCAGTCAGTGCCGCCAGTCAGTGCCCAGCAGTGATGCCAGTCAGTGCCGTCTATCAGTACCCAGTCAGTGCCCAGTGGCGATTAAATACCGCCAAAAGAAAGCTCTATTTGTGAGAAAAAAATGATCAAAATTTCATATGGGTACAATGTTGCATGACCGCGCAATTGTCAATCAAAGTGCGGCAGCGCTGAAAGCTGAAAATTGGCCTGGTAAATAAGGGGGTATAAGTGCCTGGTAGGCAAGTGGTTAAATAGTTCACCACATGCAATCCTACACCAGCTGCACCACCTGCTCACCTTTATTATATCATCTACAGTGGGGATCGAAAGTTTGGGCACCCCAGCTAAAAATTTGTATTAATGTGCATAAAGAAGCCAAGGAAAGATGGAAAAATCTCCAAAAGGCATCAAATTACAGATTAGACATTCTTATAATATGTCAACAAAAGTTAGATTTTGTTTCCATCATTTATACTTTCAAAATAACAGAAAACAAAAAAATGGCGTCTGCAAAAGTTTGGGCACCCTGCAGAATTTATAGCATGCACTGCCCCCTTTGCCAAGAGACCTGCCAGTGTCATGGATTGTTCTCAATCATCGTCTGGGAAGACCAGGTGATGTCAATCTCAAAGGTCTTAAATGCCCAGACTCATCTGACCTTGCCCCAACAATCAGCACCATGGGTTCTTCTAAGCAGTTGTCTAGAAAACTTAAACTGAAGATAGTTGACGCTCACAAAGCTGGAGAAGGCTATAAGAAGATAGCAAAGCGTTTTCAGATGTCAATATCCTCTGTTCGGAATGTAATTAAGAAATGGCAGTCATCAGGAACAGTGGAAGTTAAAGCAAGATCTGGAAGACCAAGAAAGATATCAGACAGAACAGCTCGCAGGATTGTGAGAAAAACAATTCAAAACCCACGTTTGACTGCACAATCCCTCCAGAAAGATCTGGCAGATGCTGGAGTTGTGGTACACTATTCCACTATAAAAGGGTAGAGATACTTGTACAAATATGGTCTTCATGGAAGAATCATCAGAAGAAAACCTCTTCTACGTCCTCACCACAAAAATCATTGTTTGAACTTTGCAAATGAACATATAGACAAGCCTGATGCATTTTGGAAACAAGTTCTGTGGACCGATGAGGTTAAAATTTAACTTTTTGGCCGGAATGAGCAAAGGTACGTTTGGAGAAGAAGGGGCACAGAATTTAATGAAAAGAACCTCTGTCCAACTGTTAAGCATGGGGTTGGATCAATCATGCTTTGGGGTTGTGTTGCAGCCAGTGGCACAGGGAACATCTCACGAGTAGAAGGAAAAATGGATTCAATAAAATTTCAGCAAATTTTGGATGGTAACTTGATGCCATCTGTGAAAAAGCTGAAGTTAAAGAGAGGATGGCTTCTACAAATGGATAATGATCCTAAACACACCTCAAAATCCACGGGGGATTACATCAAGAGGCGTAAACTGAAGGTTTTGCCATGGCCTTCACAATCTCCTGACCTCAACATAATTGAAAATCTATGGATAGACCTTAAAAGAGCAGTGCGTGACAGACAGCCCAGAAATCTCAAAGAACTGGAAGACTTTTGTAAGGAAGAATCGGCAAAGATACCTCAAACAAGAATTGAAAGACTCTTGGCTGGCTACAAAAAGCGTTTACAAGCTGTGATACTTGCCAAAGGGGGCAGTACAAGATAGTAACTCTGCAGGGTGCCCAAACTTTTGCAGACGCCATTTTTTTGTTTTCAGTTATTTTGAAAGTGTAAATGATGGAAATAAAATCTAACTTTTGTGACATATTATAAGAATGTCTAATCTGTAATTTGATGCCTTTTGGAGATTTTTCCATCTTTCCTTGGCTTCTTTATGCACATTATTATAAATTTTTAGCTGGGGTGCCCAAACTTTCGATCCCCACTGTACATCTAGTATAGATCAATAAACACTTTATGCAGACGATTCACTCCAGATTTTAATCCACGTGCATTAAGATAAGTATATGGCAATCTTCCAGATTATCCAAGAAATATGCTCAAGGAAATAAAGACAAAAGCTTCATCATGCATATGATTTAAACTAAGGCGAAAGTAATACATTTCTGACTACTGTGCGCTCACATATTCTATCGTGCACTACAGCTTGATGCACATCAAAAGCATACATCTAAATAACCATGCAGTGCCTTTAAATGTTTCACCGCATGTACCCCTTCACCAGCTGCACAACCTGCTCACCTTCCAATATGATCTACACTCAGTATACATTGATCAACACTTGTTTTTTGCAGTTAATTTTCCTCCAGGTGAGATTTTACTCCAGATACATCAAGGAAGATGTATGAGAGTATCCAAAATATGCACTCACAAAAATCAAAGACAAGGGCTTCATCGTGCAAACCATTTAAAGCCACAGTAAAATGTATTAAAATCTGATTAATATGTACTCACATGTGTTTGTGCGCTGCAAGCTGATTCACAGGATAACTTGGCGTATAGAAAAGCCATACATTGCTCCCTTAAGGAGCTGAAACATCAAACTCACAATATCGGGCCTCTGTTGGCATCACCTCTGGTTGCGTGCTGACGTCACTGGCTCCTTCCTGACATGTTTCTTCATTACACCATGACTTCTTTAAAGGAAAGAAGACAAGACATCCACTCCCCTCTTCATATATGCTATCAATTACCAGATTGCAGTCCCCATTTTGTTGGTTACTGCTAGGCAGTAGATTGAAACATTGATTTCTCCTTCATATATAAATTGCAAACAATGCCTATTTTTACTATTCATCACAATAAAAAAATAAACTAAAAACAAAAGTACATTGACCAGAACAATCCTTCTACTATACTAGGTAAGAAGGACCTCAAGCCAATGTTTCATTCCTTTCACAAAGTGACCAGGTACAAATCCACGCAGTCATGCAACACTGTGCCCAAACTAAATTTCTATCATTTTTTGAGACAGATGGAGCTTTCTTTTGGTGGTATTTTAATCACCACTGGGTTTTTTTATTTTTTGTGAAATAAATGAAAAAAGACCAAAAATTTTGAAAAAAGTTTTTCTTAGTTTCTGTTATAAAGTTTTGTAAATAAGTCATTTTTCTCCTTCATTGATGTGCTCTGATAGGCTGCACTGATGTGCACTGATGAGGAGGCACTGATGAGGCTGCACCGATATGCGGCACTGATAGGTGTCACTGATGGGCACTGACAGCCAGCGCTGATGGGCATTGATAGCCAGCACTGAGGAGGTACTGGTAGCCAGCACTGATTGGCACTAGTAGCCAGCACTGGTGGGCACTGATAGCCAGCACTGACAAGCACTAATGGGCACTGATACAAAGCACTGATAGGGCTACACTGATGATCAGTGTAGATGTCCCCTCTGAGAAATGCAGCTTAACGGCTCTCCTCTCTTCATGAGCTGTCACTGTGAGGAGAGGACTGCTGATAACCAGCATTTCCTATTTACACTGTGATCAGCTGTGTTTTGGGACACAGCTGATCACATGGTAAAAGGTGGCTCTTATTGGCCCTTTACATGGATATGTGATCAGCTGTGTCCAAAAGACACAGTGATGACAGGTTGCGCACGGTGCGTGCCAGTGACGTGGTTCTGGGAGGGCGTCCATGGATGCCCTCCCACAACTAGCCAACAGTGCTGTTGCCATCTTTTGGCTATAGCACGGTCAGGAACTGATTAATTGGCAACTGCATTGTCATGCAATGGGCAGCATGCACAGGCCAGTCTACAATTCTTGCCAAATACCATGCATGGTAAAAGAGATAAGTGAGTTTTATGTCTGGCAGTCCAATTCCCCCTTTAGTTTTAGGTAGAGTAAGTGTCGCTAGACTTATTCTTGTCCTGGTATATTTCCAGATGTATGAGCAAAAAAGTTTCCATACTGATGCAATAAAGGGAGTCTGAGAGAAATGGTCTGTAAAATATAAAATAATCTGTGGAGAATATTCATTTTTAAGAGAATTGCGGAGGGTGTGACATGCAGGCTGGATCACCTACATATATGTCATCCAGCCTGTACTGGTTTAGGGGCCTGCGGATCCCTCTACCTGTGGCCTGATGATCATGTGATCTCTGAGTTCTAGGAGGAGTGTCTGCCTTTATTCATGTGACCAATCTCATTAATGGAATAAGGTACACTGCATCAATTTAGACATGCTGCAATCTGTGCTGCATGTTACCAATGACGAAATCCTCAGTGGAACACATCCAATGTATTTTCTATGCAATGAGCCATATGTAATTCAGCCTCCAATTTGTGCAATTGAAAGGAAAAGGATTTTAGAAAATTGCATTTGGGTCTGAAGTCAGCTTTTAAATGCAATTATGATTTCTTCTCTTTTCTCATCTGTGGCAATCATATTCAGAGTTGTATTTTAATAAACTAAGAAATGGCAGGTGGAAGTAGGAGTGACAACAGCAAGAGGAGGAGGAGCCTGACCATGGCGAGGAGTGAGAGCATGATCTGAGCTCTCAACACCTCCGTGTGTCCTGTATGAAGAGCAAGACTCACCGGTGAGAGCGGTGGTCTCGGTGGAGGAGTGCGGGCCCTGTGGAGTGGTGGAGGAGATTCTCGGAGCGGCCGGCTGTGGAGGTCGGGTGGACCAGAGATCTCCCGGGGAAGCGGCTGCTGCAGTGGGATTGCTGCACTTTCAGCCTGGTGCCGTATACTCCCCGGAGTCTGGAGGACGCTGACCCGCCACAAGGAAGCACTGGGAGGTGGGGAAACCGGCCGGCGTTCTCTGAGGGAAGGAGACGCCGGATCCCCCCCCCTCGCATAAGGGACTGTGGCGGCCAGGACCCCACAGAAGTCGGAAGAACCCCCCCCCTGCAACTTGCCCAATATGAGAAGGGACTACTGAAACCCCCAACGGAGACCAATCGATGCAGCCTCACCCAGGAGAAAGTGAAGAAAGCGACAGGAGGGTGAGCGAGAGAGGCAGATTGCTGTGATGGAAGAAATGGAATAGAGTTGTGTTGTAAAATTAAAGGGGGGTTCACCCAGGGGGTCTAAAGGAAGAGAGAGGAAGGAGCAGGA